TGGGTGGTGCAGTGAAGGCGCTTTCAGCAAAATCCGCCAAGCCTTTCCAGTCAGCTTTGGAAAAGTTGACATAGGTCCGGTGATCCGCGGAAGCAAAGTCGGCAGGTTTATCAATCATGGCTATGGGCAGATGGTCTGATGCTAGGGTCGGCATAGGCCGCCATGATACGCTGTTGATCAGACCAGCGCTGACAATTGTTCGATCTGGCGAGCTGCAGCAGCTGCCCATAATCCTGGTGGGTGCGTCGTCGTTCATTGTGCAGAATGTCGAATCGTCTACCTGCTCAGCCAGATGTATTCCCCTACGATCATTTGACAAGCTTGAGTGCCAAAGATCGTGGTGCGCGTTAAAGTCGCCAACTACCATACGGTTTTCACCTCTGAGTAGCGCGCCTATTTCAGGGTGATATCCTTCCGGGCAGCTGGTGACAGGGGATATGTATACGTTAAATATTTCGCAGCTATTAATATTCCACGCCTTCCCATAAAGGCAGTTATCTCATCGATCTTGCTCTGGAGGCCGTTACAGTTAAATTGCAGCACCTTTGTGTGCCTTGGATGAGTTGTGTTGCCTGCCGGCTCCCTGATGTACGTGCTGCAAAAGGGGGTGCTGCCTTGTTGTGATGGTTGGCGGCGTCGCGGGAGAGGTATGCGACTGGGCAACACAGCAGGGGCCCACATAGTCACTCGTCCAATCACGCGTATTGCGAAGTCCTGAGCATGCCCTAAAGTGGCACCAGTAAAGGCAGGAGTTGCACTTGACTGATGTCACGTTACGGTATATTCTGGACTGACAACCCGAGCAGATTGTCGGAGGGACTAGGAGTTGCCGGCGGCGGTGTGTGGGTGCTATTGTGTGTGTATCTATTGTTGTGTTGTGTTGGGGTGTGGGTGTGTTGGTTGTGTGCTGCATGGGCGGGTGGTGGTTTGCCGTGGAGGCGCTCCGGTTCGCACAGCATGGGGCCACAAACGACGTGGTCCATTGTCGGTGCGTACGTAGGCCCGAGCAGTTGCGGAGGGAACTCCACCCGTCACAGGCATTGCACCTGACCGAGGTGGAGTTTGTGTGCAGTCGTCTCTGGCATACGCAGTAGGTGTAAGTTTCTGGCCCTGGGTTGGACTCAATGCCAGCCCTGAGCAGAAGGGTACGGAGCAGATGTAGCCCTAGAATAGAGCAACGTTTGACGGATCTCGCCGACCTAAACGGGGTTAGATCGCCGAAACAACAGCCCTTGAACGGGTGAAACCCGAGTCATTCCGGTACGTAGAACCGGCTGTCGTGGGAGATAGTTATGCGTTCGAAAGCACCTGTTAAATGTCGGAAAAGTTTTATGTTTATGCCCATTGTCCCCAAGTGGGGACACCATTATAAAACTATATTTTTTTAATCCCTTTTTGATCCTTTTCAACACAATACCACTTTTAAAAGCTTGTCCTCACTCCACCTAATAATACAGCCAAAATATTTAATTTTAGCTTTACAGTATACTCAAAAAATATATATAAATACTCCAGAAGAATTGGCTCAATGAAATGTCTAACTTAGAAGCGCTGGAACTACGCGTTTTGGGCACTAACGATATATGTTTGTGTTTACATAGTATACTTGATCCATCTATATGTCATAATTGAACTGACATTATCAGTTGTCGGTGTTTAAGACACAGATTTCGATGTATGAAGTGGTGTCCTCGTATGGGGACAGTGAGCGGTAATGGCTTAATAGGGGCGCTGCTAAAGGTGGAATTTTCAATATTTTCAAAAGTTATTTCTCGAAAAATATTGCACTGACTTTCAAATATATGGTCTGAAAGGTAATTGATAGATATGCATATCTTTATATACATATTTCAAGAAAAACTAAAAAAAAATGAAATTATAACCATCTTTTTTATGGAAATGTACGTTTTTCTAAAAAAAAGTTAATTAATTATATTAAGTGATGTGTTTATTAGAAAGAGCAGAGAAATACCTTTAAACTGATATATAATTTTACATAGTTAGGTTTAAGCACATGTTGCCTGAGGCCTTTTCCCATATAAAACGGCAACACAGAAAGGAGAATTTTACTTCGTGAGGGTTATAATCTCTAAGCGCGGCCGAAGGCCGCCTCCGCAGAAAGGTTTTCTCTGCAATAGGTGTTCAGCCTCTCTTCTTCGGCAACACAGAAATGAGAATTCTACTTCGTTAATGGTATATAATATATACGCATAAATATGCATATCATAAAAGGCATATCATCTTTCAAACCATATCCACATCTTGAAAATCGGTGCAATAGTTTTCGATATACATATAAACTATTGAAAATATTGAAAATTCCACCTAAACCCCGCTCTAGCTCCACCCCTATCAATTTGCACCAAAAATGGTTTACACCATTAAAATCAGTAATAAAATTATAGTTTAAAAAACTAAAACCTCCCTATTATAATTGCCATTTGTACTGTCATAACTTGAGAATAGAAATCGCTGCATCTTTTAGGCGCATCAATATTACATAGTTACATCCCGAGCTAATAAAAGGAAGGTAAAAAGGGGCGGACCACGGCCACTTTTTTCCCCAACGGCCGCTATACTGCACTTGTTCCAATGCCGTATAGTGTTTAGGCCATTAGCTCCGATCCAGTACTCCCTGAACTTATAGAATTTTACACGAACTTGCAGGAAGTTGCTGGAAAAATGTTCCCGTACTCCAAAATCCTGTAAATGGGAGCGACTTTTGGGGAGTTGTGTAGAGAATGAAGTTGCAAGATTTGACCCGAACTTTTTCTTCTGGTAAAATCATGAAAAGTGTCAAGCAATCACTGGTTGACGTTTTTACAAGAAAAATGTTTTTTTTCCCCGTACTTTTTGTTGTTACTCACTTCTTACTCTCACTTCAGAGTAATTTTGCTGTTTGACAGTTTTACAGGATTTTTCACGAAAAGTATTGGATCAGAGCTATTATCTTGGGTAGTATCTATATTTCAATTTGTAGAGAAAAATAAAATTGGCTAAGACTTCCAATAATGTCCATTTCCTATTTCAGGCAAAGTATAGCGAGTTTTTTTAATGAAATTCGCAGGGGTATTGAGGAAGTGCTCATTGACTGATACCTTCAACATTTTGTGTAGAAATGATAAAGGTTTTAAACTTATTGGTTGTTAAAATTTCCCCATTCCTTCACATATTTTTTATATAAACACTGCACTAATCACTTTTCTTTTCATTAATATATCATCTTTAATTCATAAACAAATGATTGCACATCTTGTATTTTACTAAATATTTAACAATTAATGCTTACAAAAGTGTTCTTTAAATAAGTTTCTATTCGCAAACAATCTGTAAACACACAATTGTTTAGGCATGGCCGCGAAGTATGTAATGCCAGATCGTTGAAAATTTTCCCAAAAATATCTTTACATTACGAAATATAAAGTATATAAAATATATAACTTTCAAGGTAAAACAATATTTTATTAAAAAGTGAAAATTTGTAATAAAAACAAATTTTTGCCTGCGGCGCTTTTTTATTCAATATTTCAATAAATATTTAAAATTTTTAATTAAAAATCGCCCGATTTTTTATTACAAATTTTCTCCTGCGCCGATTTTTTTTTTAATTCAATACCTCGATATATAATGAAAATTTCTAATCAAAAATCCCGCGATTTTGTATTACAAATTTTAAATTAAAAAAAAATCAATACCTACTTCGATATATTGCAAATTTTCGCTTGCGCCGCTTTTTTAAATCAATACTTCGATATATAGTGAAAATGTGCAATAAAAAATCGTGCGTTTTCATTCCCAACAAAAACTTTGATTCTTTGGTAAGCGCTTACTTATTGTATCAATGGTGTAACGCATTACAATTCGACGCAAGACGAAATTTTTCACTTTCTGGTTTACCCGCTGCATTACAGGAAAGCATTTTTACATTCTATCGCTATCCTCCAATGACATGCTGAGGTTAAAGTAATGTGTTTTGTAAACTAGAAGGTAGGTGGTGAATCCCGATTTGGAAGCAATTTTCAAAATTCGCCACATACCTTCTAGTTTACAAAACACATTACTTTAACCTGGGCATGTCATTGGAGGTAAGCGAGAGAATGTTAAAAGTTACTCCATCGATACAAATAGTAAGCGCTTACCAAAAACAGAAAAGTTTTTTCAGGGTTGTTTCCGTTTTCAGCTTGTTTTTCGAAATTTTTTTGGGATGTGTGGCAGCACCGAAGTTTCATTTCAATCGCTACACAAAGGAAAAAGTGAGGTTGAGTTTAACTTTTTTTGCAACTTTAATTACTAATTACTTAAAAACTATAAGCCTCCGGAGGGGGATCTTCAGATTTAAAATCAGCGTTCCAGGGGTTGCCAGTAGAAACAAATTTTCCGCCCAAAGTTCCAACCAAAACCAATGACAACCGCTCAAATGAAGAATACAAGCTTCTTTTTTAATTAAATTGAAAGTTAACCATTTATTTCAAAGGCTAAAAATCTCATTTGTAAAAATTCACAGTTTATAATCCTTTCAGTAACAGTAATAATACACGTACATATGGTGCGCGGCTATTTAGTTAATTTGTGCTTAATGCACTTTTTACTCTAAGTTCCTACGAGCACTGCCAATTAAGTTGTTCGATCCTATCAATTTCGGGAATTGTCCCGATTTGAAAGTTTATTGTTGTTTTTCCCATCATTTTCTCTCTCTCGCTTTGATTTGATTTTCGCTATTCTGTCTTGCTCTGACAGCTGAGTTTCAGAAATTTCCACTAAAAATTTGGAACGGAAATGATGTGTTCGTCATTCGCATGATAGTTGAATCTGAATTTCATACGAATGAAGTAATTCATCCCTACAAATTTATATGGCGAATTAGTGATTCGGTACATCATTAGGAGTGTCCTCGTACGCAAAACTATCGAAAGTGTTAGAAAACTTTTACTGGTTTTGCGTTATCGTACCCAAAAATTTTGTAAAGTAAGTGAAATTTAGAGAGCAAAATGTGATAGAGAGCTGCAAATTTCTGCAGGAAAAATGTTTCCCAGCGAAAACTTACAAGTAAGAAAATCCGCTGATCACAAGCATATGTTTGTAAATAAATAAAAAAATTGAACTTCAAACCCTAAAATATGTATATTTATTCCAAATATTTGTCACAGTTATAAGCGATGAAAGTGTCATATTTCATCCAAATCCGCGTAGGCGTTTTTTAGTGAAGAGAGGTCTCGCATAGTGCAGGTTTTTGATTTCATCAAATTTCAAATCACCATTTACCGATAAAAAAGATCTTAAGTAAAAAAATAAAACTATCGCACATCTACAGGTTATGGTCCTTAATTTGACTTCTCATTTTTGAAATTCAAAAGAACGCTGACGAATAACTATCACACAAAATACCTTTTCGCATAATACACCTACATATACCTATACTTTTAGATCGATATGTTTTTTTTCGATAAGGTGGCCAGCCTAATTAAAGGTATCTTCAAACTAAAGCTTTCATAAATTTCTTTCGATTCACACCCATATCTAAATATTTCATAAAACTTGGGTAAACGCTAACTAAATTCGACTTTTCAAACAGGTGGATGTCTTTTTCAAAAGTTATTTCAAACTAAAATCTTCTTAAATATCTTTCGCCTGACATTGTGATACACGTGCGTTTCAATAGCAGATGAACTAATTCGAATTTGATTGTTCAAACAACCCTCCTAAGTAAAGGTCAGAAATAAAGAGTTTTCAAACCCATTTCGATTGATACCCATCCTTTAATAATTCGTCGAACTTATTGAATAATTTGAATGTAAGTTTTTAAACTCGTGCATCCCTTCTCAAATGTTCCAAATGTTCAGACTAAATATTTCTTAACACTCTTTCGTTTGCCTCCCGTATTTATATAATGCACATAAATTTTGAATTAGCTAATTAAATTAAACCTTTCAAACAGATGGCAGCCCTCTTGAAAAGTATTTTCGAACTAAACTCTTGTTAAGACTCCTTTGTCTAACATTATGATACATATTTTAATTAAGTGATAAATTAAGTTGATTTTGATTTTTTAAACATGTGGCAACCCCACTAAATATAGTTCAGAAATAAAGATTTTTGAAACCCCCTTAGATAGATACCCAAATTTTAATAATTCATTTAGCTTATTAAATACTTTGAATTTACCTATTTCAACCGGTTGCAACGCTTTTCCATCACCTCAAAAATAGTCTTAGCGTTGAAAATAAAGATTTCTTAACACACTTTCGTTTGACACTCATATTTTGATGTTTCATATAATTTGTGTTTAAGTTAACTAAATTCGACATTTCAAGCAGGTGGCAACCTTGTTCAAAATATTTTCAAACCATTACCTTTTTAAACCCATTTCGTTTGGCACCCATATGGTGATACATACATATGTACTTCTCTTACCTATTTCCCTTAATTCAAATTGAATTTATTTTTTAAACAGGTGGCAACCTGTTAAAAAAAAGCCTTTCAAAAATATTTCGATTAATACTCATTTTGAATAATTGGTACACTTTTTTAAATAATATGAATATAGATAAGTTTTTAAAAGGTGGCAACTCTTTTCAANTGTTAAAAAAAAGCCTTTCAAAAATATTTAGATTAATACTCATTTTGAATAATTGGTACACTTTTTTAAATAATATGAATATAGATAAGTTTTTAAAAGGTGGCAACTCTTTTCAAAAAAATAAACCCTTATTGCACATCTACAGTCCAAGCGCTTTAATTTGACATACCATTTTTGAAAATCGAACGAACGGTGCAGATCTTTTATGCGGAACAAAAAATGCCTTCGCGTATTATATATATAGATATGACCTTTTTGAATTATTCATGGCAAATTTTATTATTAATGCTAGTATACAACGAAAAAGATAGTAAAGTTATTAAGCACAAGGTTTGTTAAAATTATTATACCCGAGCGCACTTGTGCACAAGGGTATTATAACTTTGTTCACATAACGGTTGTTTGTAACAGGCAAAACGAATCGAGATAGATATAGACAAATGTATACATAAATGGTCAGGATGAAAAGAGAAATCGATTAAGCGGTGACTGTCTGTCCGTCCGTCCGTCCGTCCGTCTGTCCGTCCGTCTGTGCACACGATAACTCGAGTAAAAATTGAGATATCTTAACGAAACTTGGTATGTGCACTTCTTTCGGGCGTAGGACGGATGGTATTGAAAATGGGCAAAATCGGACAATAACCACGCCTACCTCCCATATAACGGTAATTTTCAGAAATACAAAAACTGCGATATTTTAGTAACTACTGAAGATAATTCACTCAAAATTGATATTTATAATAAATTTTAGACGAAAAATAAGAATATTAACATTTTTTTGAAAATGGGCGTAGCCACGCCCACTTATG